AGTTTTCAAAGGTCGTTTGGTCTAGGAGGGCAGTATACAGAAGAGAGACTTGGATCCTGAGGTTTTGTGCCCATGATCACAGAGAAAGAGGCACAGCTGAGGCCCTTGACTAGACCAGAGTCATGGCACTTTTCTTAACTTTGTACTTGGGAATAACCAATATTTCCAGACTTGCATGGGATCAAGGGCCTCTTACTTGTGGCATAGCTGTGGTGCTGCCAACATGTTCATGCCTGTGGCCTCACGTAGGCTGTATTTCTGCGATCCCCAAATAAGTGTGCATTCCAGTCCTACCCTTCCCAACAGTCATAACACCTGCTGGTGGTTAAGTTGCTTACTGGAATGAACCCATTCCTGCTTCTGACTCACAGTGAGAGGGATAAACTATATCCAGCATGACATTTAAAAGATCCAAATGATTAAATGCATAAACCATTTGCGTAATTTGACTACACTTAGATAAGATAATGGCACTTAATCCTTATACCCCTTTATAACTATTGACAAGTAAATGCTAAATGTAGTGAGAAGAAAACAGCCCTTTCCAATAAACTTTAATTGAAACATTGTTGGTAGTATTTTGTAATTTTTGGATCTTTCCCCAAGGAGCATCACCATGAAATGGCTGACTCTTAGACAAATTAACAGGAATAGATGACCTTTACTTATGACTGTTTACAAATGTTTGTAATTCTTTCTTCCTTATGCATAAACTAAAAGTGACAATATTTCTTTATTGCTGTTTTCCCTGCCTGCTCTTGTGAATTAATAAAAACAAGGCTGATGGTCAACTCTTCCCTATAAAGCTCAGAAAACATTTTTTTTGTAAACCTCTACTTGAAAATGCTACCTACATGAATGGCGATTTATTTTTAAATGATTTTAAATTCATACGGTAGAGACAGAGTAAAGTTTAACACTGAGAGCACTGAACTAGGAGCCAAGAGACCTGGTTTTTCAACCTTGATCCTAACTCACCAGCTGTACGCAGTCAGACAAGCATTTTAACCTGTTGGACTTTGTTCAGTTCAAAGCTCCATGAAACAAAGAAATTAGATCAGATGTGCAAAAAGAACTGCATCTAGTTTCAAATTTTAAGAATTTGTGATTTTATTAGACCAGGAAAAAGTCTTTATTGACAAAAAGGCAAGCCATCACACACACCACGTTGTCTTCCTAATGTCCCATAAGAATGCTGGGAATCCTGACACTACCCCTATAGTGGACGGGGGTGAGCCAGGGAACTCACCAGAGGGCACAGGGACCATCTTCCTGAAAGGCCCATGTTACTCAAATTTCTGTGGTCAAATGAAATAGTTCAACTAATACCTTAAATAAATAATCGGTAGTAACATAAGTTTAATAAATATGTGAGCAAATAAACTCAGAGCTGGAATCAAAACCTGTGCATCACAGAAGTGTATATTCTTTTTTAAAAAAATGATTTTATTTATTTATGCATACAAGAACTGGTGTACAGGCCAGAGACATGAGTGGTGGGGGTGAGAGGACTCATCAGAGACAGATTGGGGAGCAGAACAGGTAGCTGAGTAAAATACACTGTTGAGGGGAGCAGTGGGTGAGACAGAGAGTCTGCTGCGCCATGTGGGTCAGCTCCCTGGCTGGGGATTAAACTCATGCTGCTGTGGCTGCAGCCAGCTTCATAGTCCTGTGCTTTAACAGGCTGTGGCACCACTGAGGGCCTGAAGTATATTTTCT